ACAGCCACTATGGAAAACAGTACAGAATTTCCTCAAAAATAAAAAATAAAAAATAGAGCTACCATATGGTTCAGCAATCCCTTTTTGCGTATCTGCCTTAAAAACTGAAGACATCTATGAGTGAAAATATATGTATCCCCTATGTTCACTGAAGCATTATTCATGGTGATCCTTTAGTGGATGTTTGGATAAAGATGTGGTACATACATACAATGGAATTCTGCTTAGCCACAGAAAAGATGAAATACTGCCATTTGGGACATGAATGGATCTTGAGAATATCATGATAAATAAGACAGGGGGGGAAAAAAGACAAGAACCTTATGATTTCACTCATGTAAGAATATAAAACAAAAAACAGCAAACAAACAAAAAACTCATAAACAAAGATAACAGTAAGATGGTTATCAGAGTATGGGGTGGGAGGGAGGAAGAAGAGGGTGAAGTGGGTCAAATATATTGTAATGAAAGGAGACTTGAATTTAGGTCGTCAATACACAATGCGATATATAAATGATGTATTATAGAGTTGCAGTTGAAACTTACATAATCTCATTTTACAATGTCACCCCAATACATTTAACAAAATTAAATTTTAAAAAACCTCCTTTCATTGTGTATGTTAGTCTGTTTGGGTCTACATGAAGAAACGTAATATTTGTGAACAAGCTGATCTACTAAATCCCACCTTAAATCTTGCCCACAGTCTGGGAAAAACCCTGGCTCCTGTCTAGGGGCTGGCTTACACCTCTAGGTCACTGGCTCACTGGCCCAAGACAGGAAAACAATCTGTCACACTGCTGGTTCCACGTGGAACGGCATAGCCACAGCTCTCCAGATGCTGGTACAGCGGGTACAGTGGAGTGAATATTCAGACCCTGTACCCAGAGCTTCAGTATCCAGAATCCTCTCGGCCATATGCAGCTAAGCTGCTTAGACCTTACCCTGGCTTCTGAAAGGCTAGATGACAATCATGTGAAACACCCCTGGACAACTTATAGCTCACAAGTTAATATTGTTAATATTTAAAATTTAAAACACTATGGAAATTATTTTTTAAAGTTCTACTTAGTAATATTTTACCCCTTAGATTTTAATTATCTATTTTCTTTCTCTTAATTTTTATATACAAATGAATACTGTTTTTATACTGGATTATTCTGTAAACCAACTTTTGTAAATGAAAAACATGTCAAATGTAGAATATCTAATAGAATATTTCAAATAAAATTCTAAGTTAACATTTAACAGATAATATTATTCTTACTGATAGAATTTATTTTCTATAATAACTATGTGATTTAGAAAAATTTGCAAGTTCCTTTTGCTGCAGCAACTAATTTCCAGGGTCTGAATTTAAAAACATGCTTTTTAAAATCCTTTTCAGAAGAAGACCATTAGAAAACTTGAATTGCCCCCCTGAAAGCATGAATGACTGATTCTTTCATTATTAGCATTAAAACTGAGACTAATTGAAGTCTTAAAATACCTACTTAGACTTAATTAATGCAAACTATATTTGTGGAGTTCCTCAAATTTATTCTTATTACCACACAAATTTATTTATAACATTTGCAAAATTTGACACAACTTTTATACCAGTGTGGTATTTTAAAAAGTGCAAAATTCATTTTTTTCTTATGCTTCAGGGATAATATTTATGTCTACCCACAGAAAAATTTACAATTTTTAAATATAACATTTAAAGATACATTTGGGATTTCATTATACTGATAAAGAAATAAGTCCACAGCTATGCATTCTTTCAGCACATTAAATATTCTATTCAAGAAATGAAAAAATCAGAGAACCTTCATTTTTTTACCAATGAAAATTTCATCATAGAAAGGATTTAGAAATTTATTATAAATTTTTATCCAAAATACACAATTTTAAAACTGGATAATAGAGATTTAAATAACTATTTAATTTAAACTGACTTCAGTTTTCTGACTTGGGGGCAAAAATAATAGCTTCATTAAAAGCCTTATTTTTAAATGATTGAAGTGACTCCTAGAACACTATCATCATTTCAACTTCTTACTTAAGACTACTTTATATAAGCTTTAGGGGAGACTAAAAATTATTTCATTACATAGCTCCTGGTAATATACTCCAGCTTGTTCTGGGAGACACTAAAGTTATGTGTACTTTTACTACCCCACCCCCAGATTGCCTAAACTCTTGTGTACTCTGAAATATGCATTATGTTCTCCACTCTACAAACATTATAAAGGAAGCACAACCATTGAATTTCAGTCGTTGTAGGCAGCAGTATAAAATATCCATTATCATAGTAGGACATAGCAAAGAGAGAACCTGTATCTTCACAATATTATAAATTACGTCTAAAGAAAAAAACATACATATGTTTAAACATACATACACATATGCACTTCACATTTAGTGAATGGGAATGAAGTTGGTTAAGTTTGAGTTCAGAACACCGTCCTGCCTGCCTGTGACCTTTTCCCCTGGAAGGGGCTTCCAATAATTAGGCTTTGTGCTCACTCAATCATTTATGCTTGGAAATATGTTTTTGTTGTTGCTATTAATATGTTTTTATTGATTTCAGGGAGAAAGAGAAACATCAATGATGAGAGAGAATCATTGATTGGCTGTCTCCTGGGTGCCCTCGACTTGGGATCATGCCCACAACCTGGGCATGTGTCCTGACCAGGAATCAAACCTTGACTCCTGTTCAACACTCATAGTTCAACACTCAACCACTGAACCACACAAGCCAGGCAGAAAGATGCTTTTCTAACAGGACATGATAAACCAAATTATTTTAACATGTAAATAATGGATAAGAGTTCTATCACTATTTGCCAAAGATAGGTGGTTAGTTTTGTTTTGAACAAGAGAAAAATCATTTTAAAACTGATTGATCTTAATTGTATACTTCTTTTCAGAATCAATGCACAGGTAAGAAAAGAAACACATTTATTTTTCTTTTCTTTTTTTAGAATCCTTTTTATTTATTTATCTTTACTGTTGAAAGTATTACAGATGTCCCCTTTGTTTGGAAATGAGTGCCCAGTGCATGGGAGAACATATTTGGCAATGATACATCTGATAAAGGGTTAATATCCAAAATATATAAGAAATTCATACAACTTAACAAAAGAAAGACAAACAATCCCATTTAACAATGGGCAAAGGACATAAATAACACTCCTCCAAAGTGGTCATACAGAAAGCCAAGAGACATGAAAAAATGCTCACTCAGTAATCACCTCAGAGATGCAGATTAAAGGGCAATGAGGTATCACCTCACATCTGCCAGAATGGCTATCATCAACAAATGACAAGTGCTGGTGAGGATGTGGAGAAAAGGAAACCCTAGTACACTGCTGGTGGGAGTGCAGACTGGTACAGCTACTGTGGAAAACAGTATGGAGTTTCCTAAAAAAGTTAAAAATAGAACTCCCATTTGACCCAGTGATCCCACTTTTTAAAATATTTATTGTTGAAAATATTACATATGTCCCCTCCACCTCCTCCTTTCACGTCTTCTAGCCCACCCCATTCTCCCATCCCAGACCTTCACCACCCTATTGTCTGTGTCCATGGGTTATGCATATATGCATACAAGATCTTTGGGTGATCTCTTTCCATCCACCCATGCACCCCACTTTCCTCCTGAGATTGCACAGTCTATTCTTTACTTCTATGTCTGTGGATCAATTTTGTTCCTCAGTTTATTTTGTTCATTAGATTATGTACAAACACTATGCAAGACAGCAGGGTGAAATTATATCACATAAGCAGTGACCTATACTACTTACATATAAAGTTGGCCCTAAATCCTGTCACAATATACTTCCTGTGCTAGCTTATATTTCACCTTGTCTTACACTGAAATCAAATAGGTTCAGGAACTAAATATAAGCAACTATCTGAAGACAATACATTTTTAAAAATTCCTGAATTTTGATGAAGATTAGATAACATGAGACACTTGAGAGAGAGAGACAGAAAAACTACAACTAAATGTTTTCTTTTTAACAGCTCACTGGTGTTTCAATGTAATAACGTTCTTCACCTGGATGCCTACATGCAGTCCAGCTTAAAACTGTTAACTTTGGTTTTTGTTTGTTCCACATTAAATCTTAAAATGCTAAGTAAAAAAGCAAATGGTGATAATGTTACTGCACTGACTACTGAAATAAATTGAATCTTATTACTTTAGACATACAGCATGAATTCATGTTTGTACTTCAAACATGAAATCACAGGAATGTTATATTAATTAATGTTTTCTGAAGTCAGACATCACAGAAAAAAAACAAAATGTTCCAAAACTAGACTACTGAGCAAAAATGATAATTCTCTCACCCTGGCTCATTTGCTCAGTGGTTACTAGGTCAGCCTGCGCACTAAAGGATCAAAGGTTCAATTCCCATTCCTCTCACATCCTTTCACCTCTCTCTCTCTCCCTCCCTCCCTCCATTCCTCCCTCCCTTTCACTTTTTTTCTCAATGGAAAAAAACAACAACAAAAACAACAAAATTATTTATTTAAAAATTTTTAACACTTTTTCTAAATTTCTAGAGGCTTCCTAAGTAAAGTAGAAAAAAACAGCAATATCATGAATCAATACTGTTGATTAAATAGGCTGAAAGAATAATTAGAAAATATATTGCAACCAAAATCATACACTCATATTTGGAAAGGTGAATTCTCAAGTTCCAAAAGATTTTAACTTTTGGTATAATCCATTAGCAGGACATAAAATCATTTACATATTTTAATGAAGTTTTTATTCTTATTTGTAGATTCAATACATGGTAGAGAATTTTATGGGTTATTAAAACTTTTTAAAACACCAAATGACACCACAAGACAAGTTCACACTTTTGTATTAAGTTACTGCAATAGCTATATACTCCAAAAAGTTACCTCTATGACCATTGTATGCAAGTGATCATCTGATGATCTGGTGTGGACATAATTCAATTCGTTAACAGTTAAATTTAATGAAGAAGCTAACTTACCGGTGGATCAGCCCCCTTAGAACCAGTCAGACCTCCTGTTAGGGATTCGAGATCCTGAAAAGGGGAGAGGTGTTGATTGTAAAATGCTACTCAACAGCATGGAGAACTTCCCAGTCCCACAGTGCAGAATTTTCTTTAAGCTACAAACTTAGTAACTCAGTTACATTTGTTTTGTTTTTAGACCATCTTACTATACAAATTCTATACAAATAGCCTGTATCTAAAAATGTAGATTTGTTTCCAACTCTGTACAATCTGTAAAAACAAAAAATATAAATAGACGAAGTATTCCTGACTATACAGAAAAAGGCTCTAGGTGGGAGAGCAGATGTTTTGTTCTCTGAGGAGCTGAAGGAAGTGCAGAAAGGAAATGAAAAAAAAAATAATGAAACTTCAATATAATATGTTATTTGCAAGAATACTAATCCCATGGAAAATGCTGACCCTACAGATATGACTCAATCACCCATAGTCTGTCTATTATAAAATAGGGGTATAAAGGTAGTATAAAATAGGATTGCTTTTTCTCCCTCCTCTTCCTTTATCTTTCCTTTCCGTTCCCTTTATTAACAGGATGTGTAAGTAATTGATTCATCAACTGTATGCGTTTAGCCTTATGTTCTGGCTAGGATTTTTGTTGTAGCTCTGGATTGGCCAGACAAGAACCAAGACTTTTAATCCAGCCCTGGATTTACACGCCTGGCCACCAGGAATGCAGAGACTGATGCATTAGGTCTCAGAAACCCTGGGATGATACACACCTGGTCACCCTTGACCGGTCTCAGAACACTGGCCAGCCTGTCCTGAGGACAGTAATGAAGACATTCATCAAGACCCAGGACCCCCACATGGACTCAAATTTCAGGACTGCAGTTCACCAGAACCCTGCTCTACATGCCTTACCCGTTCTCTCTTCCCGACTCCCCTATAAAAGCTTATTTCTAACAAGTTTAAGGGAAAGATGGATGTTAAGGTTTTCACCGGTCACCTTTCCAGATTTCCAGCGTCTGATATTAAGCGCATTTATAATCTAATCCCTGTCTCTGCGTGTTGACTGGAAAGTGACGGTAGTAGCAAGAGCACTGGACTCCGGTTTCATACATGGACGAAACTATAAACAGATATGGATAGATTAGCTCATCCTGAATCAGTCACAAAACAGCGGTTCACGCCTGAGTAGACCGATTGTCAGAGGCATTGCCAGCGGAGAACTCAGTGGTGCTGTGACACACCAGAGAGCATGCTCGGTGCAGGGACAAGCAGGGCTCTGCCTGGTCATTGCAGGACTTCGCTTCCAGGTCTTCTAATCACAGGACTTTTTCCAAAAGAAGCTAAACGTCCACGGTTTTGAGTAAAATCTCTCAGGATGTGAATGTTTGCAAGTGTTTTTAATTTTAAAATCATAGTCCCACACCTCCAAAATGAAAAAGCAAATAAACGAAAACTGTCTGCTCAAAGGCTGCCCGTTAGGAGTTTGGGGTTATCTTGAAAAGTTACATTATTTGCTAAAAGTTTCTTTTGTGTGATCCTGGTCACTTCTTATGTGTTTGCATCTCATACATTCAGGATTGAGGAGCCTGGGGGAATATTGTTGTATTAAAAAAAAAATCAAATGAAAGATAATTGAATAAAGAAAGAAGAAAATAGATACCTATGATACGAGAAAAGGCCAACACTTTGATATCATGAAGACTTATGTTACTAGTTCATTGGGACTTCATCACAGCATTTCCCTGATTATCTCAAAAAAAAAAAAAAAAAAAAAAAAAAGAGGAATCTTTACAACAGTTATTGAGCTCAAATGAGCATGTGAAGAAAACACTGAAGGCAGGGGAGAAGGAAGGGATGGTGCAATGCAAGCTTCCATTAGGAGGAGCTGGTTTTAAATGGGAACTCAGTGGGTGACGAATTTCTACATGCATATTTTATTAGGGCCATAAATGACAAGAAAAGCACAAGGGATGCTAGCCAAAAATATTAAGCTGTCTTCTCTGTAATGAATATATTGTATATAATATGTTTTCCTATCCAGCATTTCTTTGGGGAGCCCTCCTGCTCCCTGACTCCAGCTCCACAAAAAGGCTTATAAAAATTGCTTCAAATGTTGTAGGAGCCTGCCAGAGAATTAAGGCAATTTCGGTTCTGGAAGAGCTAATGGTATAGTCTAAGTCCTCAATTTTATTGTTTGAGCAATGTTTGATACTAAATGTTCTCCCTGCCTTCGAATTTTAGATAGTTTCTGGCTCTCAAAACCTAAAAGTTCCTAATTAATACTCCCTCATTGTTCTGTTTTTAAAATGTTCCCCCTCTCCATCCTGGTAAAATTCTTTATTCCAATACCATGTACCCTATAAACAACCAAATCACCTACATTATTAGCTCTTGCATAATCTTTAACATTTCTATTAAGTCATCTGTAAATTATGACCTTACAAATAAAGTATAAAACTTATTCATAAGTTGCCAAATAAAATTAATATTCCTCATAAATCCAAAGATAACATAATTTTTTTAAATGTTTCAGAATTTTAAGGCATGGACTGAGATGATTTGGTAGTAAAATGGCTAAACTATTGGGTGAACAGAAAAACACACAATCCATTTTCTTGTTATGACCATGACTAAAAAAAAAATTTCCAAATTATATTCCTATGAAAGGTTTATTACATTTACAATTAAAGAATATTAAGTACATTTTGAGTTAATACCTTTTGTTCTTCATAGAAAGGAATATAACTTAAATTAACAGTAGAATTGCTGATGGTATTACCAGGGATAATAGAGAAATTGATTCAGTTTTCAAAAGTATTTTAGCCATTTGATGCATTTTGTCCTAGTGTTAAAAGTTCTATCATGAATTTCTTGCTATCATAGATAAACTAGGAAAATTTTTCAGGCTTCCCAAATCTTAAGCTTTTCATGATAGTCATGGTCCTGAGAAAAATAAAGCAAAGGAGAATTTAGAAAATAAATAGAAATGCATTGACATTTATGGTTTTTAACATGTTGAATTAAAGCAAACTCTGAACTCATGGCTGTAAACAGAGTATAGATGTACATTTCTATTCCATCCACTTGTTTAATTGAAAAACTTTTTTGACCTTATGTTCTACTTTGAGCATAAGTTGAAAAAGAGTGTCCTACTTGGACAGATACTCCTGTTAATCACTTTTCCTCTCTCAAAAAATTTTTTTAAAAATTCAGGTATGAATAAGCATAAGTGTGTATAAATGCTTTTTTGTGGTAAAATTAATAATTAAATAAATAATTATTTTGAGATGCTCTGAACATAATTAAAAATGAGTAAATCATTTTTATGGTTATTAAATATTTTACCTATAAAAGAAACCCTTGACAAATGTATTTTTTTAATCTATTTTTATATAGATAGCAAGCAAAGGGGACATCAAAAAGTAAATACATTGATATCCTAGAAAATTTTTAAACTAACTAGTAATATTTGATTTAAAAAAATTAAAACAAACTTTGACATTTTATTGTTACAGAATTTATTAACTCGATTATACTTCGTGCTTTAGATCTAATAGCTAATAAAGTAGCTACCATTTCCTGAATATTTACATTCCAGGCACTCTCTTTAAATGTTTTATCACATTATAAGCAGCCTTATATGTGTGGACGAAAAGGGCCCACATGCTAACCTGACAAGCTCAGGGAGGGCCTGCGGAGTGGCCTTGCAAAATCAGAGACATAAAGTAACCACAAAGGATGTCTGAAATTAAAACTTTCTTACTTAAAAAGCAGTCTATGGTAGGTAGTCATATTCTAGGCTGGTACCTTCCCTGAGAAAGATCAATCTTGACCTTAACTGAGCCTATTGTCTTTTTTTGCATCTACTATAATATAACTTTGGAATGTCAGGGTAACTTTCCTTTTTCTGGACCCTTCCAGGCACAACCAATGCCCTGGGGCAGAAACCACAAATTCCCTCCTTGTTAATGTCATCTGCTATTGTTATTGTGTTAAATGTTGACTGTTAACTATCCTGTATCCACTTACATAAAATAAGTAGAGTCTATCCTTTTACTTTTTATCCAATCCTAGAGGTTTCGACCCCCTTTGCTTTTTTCCAATCTATCACCAATGGATTTCATGTAACCCACTCACATCTCTTTTTTTTTATTGTAATATATAAAATAAGGCAAAACTGCCATTCCCAGGAGCCTTATCTCAATTCCTTCTGAGTCTGTTTCCCAGAAATTGTCAACAGTTTGGTTCAAATAAACTTGTACAAATTCTTCACAGATTTGAATGTTTCTTTTGTTAACACTAGTGGCCCGGTACATGGAAATTTGTGCAAGGGGTGGGGAGGTGTCCCTCAGCCCAGCCTACACCCTCTCCAATCTGGGACCTCTCAGGGGATGTCCAACTGCCAGTTTAGGCCCACTCCCACAGAATCACAATCTGCTGGCTCCTAACTGCTCACCTGCCTGCCTGCCTTATAGCCCCTTACCATTCTGCCTGTCAGCCTGCTCACCCCCAACTGCCCTCCCCTCCTGGCCTGATCAGCCCTAACTATCCCTGCCTCTGCCCCACCACCATAGCTTTGTCTGGAAGGATGTCCAAAAGGTCTTCTGGTCTAATTAGCATATTAACCTTTTATTAGTATATATGTTAGTTATTTCTTTTCTCACTTAACAAGTTAAGAGTTTATATAGTATACCAGGCATCACACAGCTACTTGCATGATGCCAAACCTGTGTTTTTAATGCTAGTTGTAAAGGAACAGCTTCACCCTGGCATCCTGGTGACTGTGCACATATCCACAAAGGCAAGGCTATTCCATAGGCTGGTGGAATCCCCTGTGAGCCACCCAAGAACGTGACAAGGTAGATGGTCTTATGAAGAGCCTCCACATGGCTGTTTATCATTCTCCTCCCTGGCACCAAGGAGGCATGGTACTATCCACCTCACTTTTCTCCAAACCAGATCCATTTCTAGTCTATAAAACTGCCTGGGTGAAATATGGAAATAGCTCTTGCCAACAGAGCAACTCCCCTGCTCATATTGTTTACATCTGACCCATCCAATTC